GATCCACGTGTTGAACGCAAACGTAAACAGGATTGACTTCAAACCAGAGTCAACCCTGCGTTGCGCAGTTCGCAACGGCACGTTGAGAGATCCTCAACGCACGCTGTATGGGCGGAGACGCAGACGGCTCGAGCATGCGAGTGTGAATGTTCGCGCGAGAGAACGTGTCTAATCGGGCGAAACTGCGCAACGTGGCCGTTGAGAACTGCGCAACGCAGGGTTGACTCTGATTGCAACATGGATCTCAGATATGAAGCCCGCCACTATGAAGCTGCAACGAAGAATTGGAAAGGTCCAACAGACATCTACGAAAATTGTTATGTACAGGTGCTTCCCAAACCCGGCGTATCCATCTTGTATGCCAGACTATAGAGAACGTTTGCGGTGTTTTAAGCTCAAGACACTTCTGTATAGGCGCGTTTTCAATGATATAGTCTTCTGCTTCAAGTTGCTCAAGGCGAACTGAATGTTGAAGGCAAGTCATTACTGGCTGTCAGCCCCCTGGGCGCACCACTGCAATTTCTTTGATATGTCCCAAGTTAGCCACAAGTCAGCGAACTGGGTTTTCAACTCCTTGACTTTTCGTGGGGCCAAATGGCTTCAAATGTCACCTTCTAGTTCACCCACCTCTCGATGAGATGCGCAAACATGCCGCAGCGGCAACTGCCGCCCTTCCCGCTGAGTTAGCGCCCTCGTTTTTGCATTGAAGGCAAGAATCAGGATTAAATTGATGGGGTGATTCCACTCAAATGTGAAAGTAGGGATGGAGGTGGACCGCCAGTGGAGAAAAAAGGAAAGAAAATCCTGAAATACACAGGAAATACGAGCATTTTGCTCCATGGTGTGATGTTTAAAGGCAAGAATCAGGATTGAGTGATGGGATAATTCCACTCAGGGTCAACCCTATGTTGCTACAAGTAGCAACGGGGGGGTCGTATTTTGATGAGTTTGTAGAGGGGGGTCGTACTTGCTTCGGTTGTAAGAAGTTGCATGTGATGAGTGGGGAGCGGCGCGGGAGAAAATTTGCCGTTTCAGCGCGCGTATATACCCCCCTAGAAAATGAAGCAGTGGGATTATAGGTAGAAATGGGTAAATTGGTGGAAATTTAGGGAATTTTGGTAATTTACTGTTTCAGAGTGACTATATACCCCCGCTCGACGGCATTTTTGGAGGAAAAAGTGGGCGGGGTTTTGATGGAAGATGGAGATGGTGGAGGTAGGGAAAAGGGGGTCGTATCAAATCCACGTTGGGGGAGGGGGGTCGTAAAAAATTTTTCGAAAAGTAACAACGATAGGACAGACCCTGATTCCATTCAATATGAAGTAGGGATGGGAGGTGGACCGCCAGTGGAGAAGGAAAGAAAATCCTGAAATACACAGGAAATAGCTGTGGAGAAGTTCAAAAGACAGGCAGGGAGATGAGAGATAATGTGAGCGCGGAGAGTGGTAGAGAAGTCCGAGAAGAGAGAGCATAGCAGATCAACGCAGCGACGCAGACAAGATATCGAACGGTGGGCGGACCATGTTAAGTTTGGTGGAGTCTGTTAGAAGTCCATGGCGCCTAGGGTCCTAGCGACGCGTCTCGACCCAGCACTTTAGCCATGGTGAGGGCTTCTGAGGTGGGTTTGAGCCCAAACTTTGCCTTTAACAGTTTTGGTAGTGCATCAATAATATGTCGCTACAGCACAGCATTTGAATGTGCGCCCGAACTCATAAACACACCTTACGAACAACATCACAGTAGATGTGAGTTCAGCAGTTTCAGGATTGATATTCTCTCTAATTAGGAAATCTGTTGAGTAATATATCACAGGCCAAATTGACGTGGTAGCTTGTAACGCGATGACTCCTGTAATTACTAATACATTACTTTACTCATGAACCCTACATGTACAGCCACCTTTTGTAAAGTGCAATCATCCTAATGCAACTGCAAATAAATCTCGAAAAAGTAATGAACTTAGCAAGCTCACCTAAAATAAGACCCGACCGCACATGTTTCGTAGTAAGCAGCTCTTTAACCGAACCGTTGGTTTCAATGCCTTCATTTTCATACGACAGAAGCACCTTTGCAGTGTCGTGCTTACCTGAAAAACTGAACATCGTTTTTTTTCTGCAAATAAATCGATTTGAAGCTATGCTGACACACTAATTCTCGTGGGTAGAGGCAGCAAGGAGCATTCAAGGCACGCTCCAGAACTAGGCACGCTAACCTGTTACATATTCAAGAGTAGTAGACAGAAGGACTAGAGTTGATGTCGCGCCTTTTGGGGCTTAAAAGTCGATAAATGGGCTAGAAGTTCGCTCGTCTCGCAGTCCACTCCTCCGTCCGCAAGCCACGCCTTCCCGTGATGCTGCGAGAAAAACGCACGCACACTTGCGGGAGCGGTTGCAATGCGGTTCAATGTCATTAGCAGTGAAGGAAGTGGAGCTAGATTGTGAAACTCCTCCAACCAACAAACCTCTTCTCTCTCCCAAAGTGGAATGCGGCTGAATAAAGGGGACTCCTCATTAGCGGCGTAATTTGGGGCTTCTCTTGCTTTCTTCTTTTTTCTTCCACCTCTAGCTCTACTGAACGCTCTTCCACATCTATTTTTTCCCAAGGATTGCCGTTAAACGAATTCTCAGCAGATGCAGTCTCCTGTGATCGTGAGCCACCTAAAAACCATCGTGACAACCCATCGATTCATCGTGACAATAAAGAAGGGAGCCAGAGTAGCTATTGGAAGAGCTACGATTCAGTCATCCAAAGCTGGCCCACTGACCCACGCCCTACGGCGAAGAAGAGAGTGTTCCAGAACGATCGACACGGGACGAGGAGAGAGGAAAGGAGGGAGACCAGTGGACTCAGACACTAACGTTGTATCGTGCTCAAGGTGCACATTGCGGATGGGGCGGACATACAGTAGCGGTCAATAGTACCGCTACTGCATGTATATTGTGGACCAGATAAGCGTCTGCCACGCACATTGGAGCTCTCTAAGGAGGGATTACGAGGAAACGTGAGTGTAGTATCAAAGTACATACACTATACCAGTGGAAACAGTAGCCACGGGCCGAGGGATGCATGTGGCCGTTTCGGCTAAAGGTGCCTCAGTCTCTGCGCACTAAACTTGTCAAACTTTACTGTGCTCCGCCTCCGCCTGGCTCCGCCTCCAGTAACAACTTGATCGACTACCATTTTGAAATGGTACATCACTTCGAGCGGCTGTAACCTCCAACTTTTTTCCTGGAATGCGAATGAATCGCATTAGAATGAAGTTCTTTGCTTTTTTTGCCACTAGTGCATTACCCAGCATCCCACTTCCAGTTTTAGTCCGACCCAAACTTATCGTGGTGCCTCGCTTTGTATGCTCCAAGGCTTCTCAAAAACTCAAGAAGGTGGCGCATTTTGAAAGATCCACAGAGAAAGCTTAGCTTTTTCACAGTTGCTCTGTTTTTGTTGAAATGTTGCTTTTTGCTGATAAAAAAAGTCTCACTAGTGCCATGATAAAATTCAACAGATTTCTCAGCCTGCTTTCGTTTCTTTCTCTTCACAAGGAGGAATCGTGGAGAATCAGGGAAATACAGAGCCATCAGGATCGAGAGCAATGCTGGAATACATGCCAACCTATAATTAGTCTAGCTTTCCAGTGATCCATGAATGCTTGTAGGAAAATGCATGGGCGAGAATGTTCCCAAACTCACCCAACAAGCCAACCAAGCTTTGTTCCAAGCACACTACTCATCCCAGCCAGTGCTCCAATCATATTCGTTACGACGAAAGCCATTTCAGCATTAAACGACATCAGTCCACGTAGAGAAACAGGGGCTGACTCCTTAAACAGTGAAAATCTATCAGGTTGGGAAGAAAGTTCTGCAGCACGCTTTCTAGATTTTTTTCTGAACATTTATGACTAACAAATGGTAGAGCATTCTCGAGGCTTTAATCCACGAGGTGGATATAAGTGCTGCAGTCAGTAGTTATCCAAGAAAATTCAAAAAACCTCGACCACTAGTAAATCCATACTCCGAGTCACTGTCTAGTACAAATGTCTCCATAACTATGGATTCGTGTCAAAGACCAACACTATCTGCAATAGCTTCAATAGGCATGTCGTTCACCGCTACAGCGTGTTTCACCTTTACCAGCGCTTTCGATCTTTTGATATTTTTATAAGAAGCCAGCAGCGTCCCTACACTCCATTACAGGTAGGGCTCTTACGGAAGCTCCACTACAAATTCTTCGTTATGGGCACCATTGTGTAGGTAGAGGTCTAGGCTGCGGAACTCCAGAAGCTGGCCGAGGCAGCTCGTCAGGAGCCCTCGTACCGCGACAATATTTATTTCTTTCATGACATTGCGAATCACCATGATCCGAAATGAGCCCGGTAAGAAATTCTGGAGCTGCGGCAAGATTTCTTACCTCTCTTAGCGTATTCCCCTGGTCGAGCTATAAATGACTGCCACTTGTCCTGTACTTTAAATCATAATAATGTTGAACAAATAAT